ATTACTAAGGTATGCATATGTAAGGAAATCCCATTGCCAGAGCTAATCACAGGGTAAGGTAAAGGTAAAGTTTCCCCTTGACATTTAGTCCAGTCGTGTCCTACTCTAGGGTGCAGTGCTCATTCCCGTCTCCAAGCCATAGAGCCAGCATTTTATCCGAAGACAGTTTCCATGGCCACGTGGCCAGCGCGACTAGACACGGAACGCCATTACCTTCCCACCGAGGTGGTACCTATTTATCTACATGCATTTTTTACATGCTTTTGAACTGCTAGGTTGGCAGGAGCTGGGACAAGCGATGGGAGCTCACTCCATTACGTAGACTTGATCTTACGACTGCTGGTCTTCTGACCTTGCAGTAGAGAGGCTTCTGCAGTTTAACCCGCTGCGCCACCATGTCCCTACAGGGTACCTCCACTAAATATGTACTAAGTGTATCATGTAGTTCTACCCTGGTTCTCTCTCCATTCCCACTTCATTTGGAAGAAAGGACCATGTAAGATGGTGAACAGGGCCATTCAGTAAGACTCAGGCAGAACTTACTCATTTCTCTTGTTCTTCTCAGAGACTGGGGCAACAGAACAGTGTGATTAGGTCTAGAATCCAAGTGACTGGTGTAATTTAAATAGTAAAACCTGGTTCTTTTGTCAGGAAAAAAAAAGGGAAACCAGAATCTCACACCATCCTATATCAGTGATCCCAAACTTAAGTCCCACATGTTCTTGGTACTACCGCTCCCAGAAATCCTGGCCAGCAGAGCTCATGGGGAAAACATCTGGGAGTTTTAGTTGGGAACCATTATCATGTAGAACGTTCAACTTCAGAACCCCAAGTCCGTTCACTTGGGGAGTGATGGGGGAAATGGTGGTGAATGATGTTAGTCATGATGTGTTCAATTTATGATGAGGGAGAGGTTGAGAATGCCTTGCAATCTTCAAAAGGCTTCATATTTTAGTATCTAACCATCACAACCAATTTGGGAATTGTTGTAATAATGACATAATACTAATAATTAGTGGTGATATGGGTGCAGAAGGCTCTATCCATGTCATCTATTTGATTTTTCTTCTTCTTCGGGGGAAGAATAACCATGCTAATCTACTGAAGCAAAATAAATAAATAAATTAAAAAAGCCATTTTGTGGCACCTGACAGGCGAACACATTTTTATTATTGCATAGACTTTCAGGGACTACAGTATCACTTCGTCATGTGTGGCATGCACCCATATGCAGGTGATGATGCTGACTATACTCCATAGAACTATGGTCAGTGAAAAACCTGTTAGTTGTTGCTTACTTGAACTTTGCCCAATCATTGTTGGTATAGTTTTTGGAGGTTGGATAGCTCAGTGGCTTAATGATCTGGCTGCAGAGCCAGAGACTGGAAGTTCAATTCCCCACTGGGCCTCCTCTGAGTAGAGAAAGGTTGTGTGGCCTTGGTCAATCTGCTTAGTCCTAGGCCACTGTCCTGAAAAAGGAGATGGTAACCCTCTTCTGAGCATTCTCTACCTGGAAAACCCTGAAAATGGTCATCGTAAGTCGTAATTGATTTTGACAGCTGTTTTTTTAAAAATAACCCCCACAAATCGAAGAATAGCTTCGTTATTCGTCGCTTCATGGGGGCAACTTTGTGTTTCGTGAGTCCTCCACTTTTGACGACTCACGAAGTGGGACGACTTGCCAAAATGGTGAGTCACCCCCATCTCTAATTAGGACCCATTTCGTTATATGATCTATACAAGGAAGTGTCTGATATCAGTGGAGAGTGGAGCCCAAATTAAGTGAATTCTTTCCTTCAAAATTATCTCAACTTCTCAGCTTCTATGTTTGTTCATGCAAGTTAGGTTTTATTTGATTCACCCAGATAGACCAGCAAAGACTCCTGGGAGGCAGAAATTGCTTTATAGACAGTTACAAGTAAGCATACGGAGATACAATGCAAGATTTTGTAGCCAGATGCAAGGCCATTGATCAGCAGAAAGTACCAAGAAGGCAATTGACCTTATTAGGCAATGTCGGAGGCTGGTTTGCATTCCAGCTTTTTGACATTGGTGTGAATTCCTGCCAACTTGACTTCATTTACTTTGGTATCATTGCATGCCCCTTTAGTGACACAGCCCTTCTGCATAACAGCGGCCACAATCTTTCCTGGACAGAGGAGAGAAAATTGAGTCAAAAGGAGCTACAGATTCCAGAAAGAAATGTTCCCCCACCTAGGTTTTATAACTCCCAGGACATTCCTGATCACTTATCAAAGAATGGCCAACTCCTATAGAACTGTCTGCTTTCATGAGTTGTCCCTTTCAAAGAACAAACCATGACAAGCTTGTACACGACAAAGGGGTTGATCATTCAGGTAACCTTCTGCGCAAAATATTCTATAACCAAGAATGTATCAACAGCTCATATCCAGCTTATGGATCTGTCACTGGGAATGGCCATGCCAATTCCTTTCATAGTGCCTTAATGACCATAATCTTTCTTTTTACACATGTGCTACCATTTGCTGATAAGTAAACACTATCCATTAGCAATAACTGGAGAACCTCAGTATTTGCTCATGTGGAGAGCAAGGACATTCAGATCCTCAAACGCATTGGTGATCATGTGAAGGAAGCAAGTTGGAGGGTGCAGGATTAGGCATTCTCTGTTAAGATTGTTGAGAACACTGGATTCTCATATACAGTGGTGCCTCGCATAGCGACGATAATCGGTGCAGCAAAAATCGCTGCAAAGCGATTTCGTCGCTATGCAATTTAAAAAAGCCCATAGGAATGCATTGAAACCCCTTAAATGCATTCCTATGAGCTTAAAGCGAAAATCCTCCATATCATCCTCCGTACGACCACCATTTTCGCTGTCCGGTAAGCGAGGAATCGGCGCGAAAACACAGCGGGTGGCCATTTTGTTTACCCGGTGGCCATTTTGGAACATTTTGGATCAGCTGTTAAAATCATCGCTTTGTGATGATCGGTAAGCGAAACAGGGTACCATTATCGCAAAGCGATTTTTCCCCATAGGGAACATTGCAATGAGATCGCAAAAGCGATCGCAAACTCTTCATTGCTATGCGGTTTCATCGTTAAACGGGGCGCCCGTTAAGCGAGGCACCACTGTACCTGATTAGGTCTTGTATGTGTCTGCTAACTGAGGATTACCCATCATAGTCAAATGCAAAATAGAGTTTGGATGTATCCAAAATAGAATTTGCATGTACTGTACTTGTGCAGAATTGAATCATCTGACATTCCTTCTTCTGCATAGCTAAAAAGGAAGTCTCTTTCCTGCTTAGTTTTTGTTGTGTTTTGTTCTTGTCTAGCTACCATACACTGATATGGAAAAATTACCATAAGTAACTGTTGCTTCCAAATCAAGACACTCGGTCTCTGGGCCAACACAATCTACCGTCTTATTTGGGTTGCAGTTTCCAGAAAACACATTGAAGCAGGCTGGGCATTGTTTCCCGTTGGGTTTAGAGATGATTGGAGGCACTGAAACACAGCAGTAGAAGATCATCAGTTTGAGGGATAGAAGAGGAGGGAAACATGAGGAAATGAAGTAGCAACCCCATAACTTTAGAGCAAGCTGTAATGTCCCTTCCAGGTTGGCCATCCCATATTGAAAAGATGGATTGTTTACAATAGAAATATTCTATTAAATTTTCTTCCAGTTTATTGGAAGCATATGATTTCTTGAGGTGGCTTGTAAACAACCAATCAAAGACTATGTTATGCCCAGGATTAGCCTTGTCGTTGTATAACGAAAACCCGTATTTATTGCAAAAGCATCTTTACAACACAGTGTTTCCCAGACTAGGGGTCATGATCCTCAAGGGGTTGCAAAGTCTTCTGACCTTGCAGCACAGAGGCTTCAGCAGTTTAACCCATAGCGCCACCACAGACAGAGAGACAGACAGACGGACGGACGGACGGACGGACAGACAGACGGACAGACAGACAGACAAGTACTTACGTTGTGGAGTTGCAGTTCTGCAAGCATCTCCCACACAACAAACCAAGCTTGTCCTCATATCCTGTCCATGGCCGAAATGCATGTATTGTGGCCCGTGTTGACAGATGCTGGATGATTCACACATCTTAATCACACTCTTTGTTTGTATTCCCACTGCAGGAAAAAAAGAGAAGAAAATGGGGGCTGATTTTGGTATTTCTCCATCTTATCACTGACCTTTACCCATATTTAGAGGGGGAAAATCTGAAGCCTCCGCTTCTCTCAGGAGATCCTCTGTCTGTCTGTCTGTTTGTCTGTCTGTCTGTCTGTCTGTCTGTCTACAGCTGCAGTCCTAGCCTAGGCTGCTCACCTGAGAGCAGGTCCTCTTGATCCCAGCAGAGCTTGCTTTTGGGTGAGGAAGTGGACTTGCTCATAAAAGCTCACCTTAAAATATAGCAGTTACTCTTTAAGACAATGTTTTTGTCTTTTTCATTTGTTCCTTTGTTTTTATTTTGGTTTTGGTTTTGCCTGCCATGCTTCGAATACAGCTGTTCGTCTTTTAAGGGGCCACAGCGTTCTTTTGCTTCTTTATTTGTTTATTATTATTTTATGATATGCTTTTTGGGTAGAGATATAGAAGTTCACACCATATTTCTAAGAAATGTTATTCTCTTTTCTGCTATAAGGAAAACAAGTTGTTCTAGCATCACAAGTAAGATGGGTTAATTAAAAAAACAACCACACTGTGGGTAACTATACAAATTAAAAGCTATGGTAGACATTGGTTTATTTCTTTTGATGACACTGATCTTCAATTAGTATTAAAAGCTTGGGCTAGAGATGAAGAAAACATATTTTTGGATGATATCTCCCAGAAAATCCTAGCCAATGGGGCCAATGACCAAAAAATAACTTTGTCCTGGACAAAGTCTGAATATACAGAAGGTGCCTGGAAAGAGTTGTACCATAATTATAGGATAGTCTTTCTACACGCAAAAGATCTCAGTTCTAGACCTAAGTTTCTTCAGGAAGGTGTAAGATTCAGATGTCACCAAGAGTCACTGCTAGCTCTTTTATTGTCACAATGGGCACAATCCTGTTCACACTTCCATTCAGCCAATGATGGATTATGTGGGATTCCGCTTGTGTAAGGGACTATTACTGGATGCCTTCTTGCATTCGCTTGGAAATGGTGCAAACATTTGCATTAAATATCATTGCCCACTGAAGAGATTTATGAAATAATAGGTATTGTTGTACAAATGCCTTCAATGATAGTCTTAATGAATGTGAAGAATAATAATCAATGAAAGGGAGAAGAAAATTAATTAATTACTATTATAGTAACTGTGGCAAGGCTGATATTTTCAAAAAAACTGGAAAAAATAACAACCAATTCAATATGGAGGAATGGTATAAAGACATGTGAAATATGGTCATTAATGACAGATTCACCTGTGAAATTAAGATTAGAAAAGAAATATTTTGTCTCTGTCTTCAAAAAGGGCAAAAAATAGGAACCTGGAAACTACAGGCCAGTCAGCCTGACATCCAAAATTCTGGAAGAGATCGTAAAGCGGTCATTGTGCAAGCAGCTAGAAAACAATGTAGTAATAAGAAGGAGCAAACATGGATTTGCCAAGAACAAATCCTCCCAAACTAATTTGATCTCGTTTTTTTGTTCACCTCCCTGATAGACGGAGGGAATGTTGTAGATGTAGTATATCTTGACTTCAGCAAAGCTTTTGACAAAGTGCCCCATGATCTCCTGATTAGCAAGCTAACTAGGTGTGGGCTGGATAGATCAAGTGTCAGGTGGATACACCATTGGCTACAGAATCGTACTCAGAGAGTGATGCTGTTTCAGAGGGAAGAAGAGTGTCCCTGATTCACACCATCAAGAAATGGACTGGAGAATTTAAGAGAAGTCGTGCTATATCAAATGATCCAGTCCATAGATGATCTAGTCCAACATTCTGCTCACAGAGTGGCGAACCTGTTGCCTATGGAAAGCCCACCTGTACAACATAGGTTGTACAACAATCCCCATCTTATGTTCCCCAACAGCTGGTCTAGAGAGGAATATCATCTCTCATAGAGGAGGTGATCTACAGCTGTTCTGATCAGTTGTCGCCAATGGCTCTAACCTCCGTGGGCTTATCAAATGCTGACCAAACTGAATTTCCTGTATAAGGCAGTCCACAGTATCCCTATGTGCTGTGTGGACTGGATGCATGTTGGATTTG